CTGCCCTGCCACGTGGCAGCTGGTGCTGGAACAGAAGACCCCCCTGCTTAGGGGGCTGCTCTACAGTGGTGAGGGCCTGCTCACACAGCGGACCCTAGATCTGCACATCTGCAAAACAGTGGCTGCTAGGGGCTGATCAAGATCTCAGCCCCGTTTCCCCTATAGCTGGCTTGCTGCAGTGAAGGCCAAGACCCTCCTGGTCTTGGTGTACCTTGTGCCCTTGGAGACACCAAGGGCCAGGTATCACTCCCTTCTCCCCTCTCCCTCTACTAACCCACTCTCCCTACCTCTCCTCTCTCCTCTTATTTACCCCTTCTCTTTCCCCCACCTTCTACTGCCTCTTTTCTCTCCTCCTTTTATCTTCCCCACCCCACCTTTCTCCCACCACCCATTCTTTTACTCTCTTTTCTTCATCTCTCCTTTTCTTCCCTTCTTCTCTCCTTCCTTCTTGATCTCTCTCCACCTTTCCCCAACCCTCCTCTCCCCCAACTACCACCACCTCATCCCCCCACCTCCCACTTCATCTTTTTCCCTCCCCCACCTATTTCCTTCTCTTCTCCTTCACTTTTTCATTCCCATTTTTCCCCCACTTCGAATTTTTCTGTTTTTCTTTTTTCTATCTCTCGCTTGATTTATTTTTTCTTTTTTCCAAAAATTCAAAATATATTCTTTCCCACCTTCTTTTCTCATTTTCTGATTTATTTTATTTATTTTTCTAGTTAGTCTAAAAATTCGATTTTCTTTACGGCAACCCTAAATCTGATTAGGTGTTAGTCTTTACTACTTTCGGCACACGTTTTGACCCCGTGGGGGTAACGAACTGCTGCCGAAATTTTCTGTTTTTTTTCTTTCACTTAGTCTCCTCGGCACACTTCGACCCCATAGGGGTAACGAAATGCTGCCAAAATTTTTTGACAAATTAGATACGTCATTCCTCCCCACCTCCTCATCCACTTTTACTTCTTTATTTATTTATTTTTTCATTTATCTCTTTATCTATTATTTCTTTATTTATTTTCTGAAATTTCTTTTTTCTTTGCGGCATCTTGACACCTAGTGTGCTCACCTTTCCCCTTGGCACATTCTTGACCTCGTGGGGGGTAGGGAAATGCTGCCGAAAATTTCAAATAAATAAATAAATAAATAAATAAATAAATAAATAAATAAATATTGTTTCCCTTCACATCTCTTTACTTATTTTTTTAATTATTTTTATTCTTATTTATTTATTTTCTATTTATTTTTATTTTTCTCGAAATCTCGCTGTTTATTTATTTTTCTCCCGTCCCCCCCCCCCCCTTATGCTTGTTATTTTACTTTCTTGATTAGGTCACCGGTACCCTACCCTAGCCACTTAAACCTCGGTTAGGGTTTTCTTAGGGGTTCTGTAGGGTTTAGGGTTCCTCAAAGCCCCCCTACTTCCCTGTCCTCTTCGAGCACCCTGGACCCGAACCACCCCTCCCCCTTTGACGGCACCCGTGTTAGCCTTGCTAGCGCCGTTCGCCGTTTTCTACCGCGGACTTCCCTCTACGCCCTCCGCTCACGCGGACCTCTTCTGGCCCCCTCCAGTCCGGTCCGTCATCTCCCCATGGCCGACGGTGCGTCACACGCCGCCGACWCGGCGATGACCACGGCATCGGRCTCCACACCCGTGYCRGCGGACCWGGGCCATCAGCCCCAGGGGGATCTACRCACCCTCCTCACCTCCCTCCTTGCGCCCATCCAGGCGCAACTCGCGACCCTTGCGCCCATCCAGGCGCAACTCGCGACCCTCGCGCCCTTACAGGCGCAGGTGGCGACCCTTGCCACCGGTATGCAGCAACTCCAGGACGCTGCGTGTCCGTCATCTCCTGGATCCCAGTCCGGGTCCCCCGTCCTCCGACAGGGTGACCACGACAGAGCTTCCTCCTCCGTTGCCCCTGACCCGGCCATCTTGGTGACTGTCCACGCCCCTAGCACGACGGCCGCCACGAGCCAGGCCCCCCCTCAGTCTATGGGTGCACCCGCCCAGATCCCGGTCCCTACGGCCATGGTACAACAACCCGCTACCATGGTCTCAGCTTTTTCGGGTGCCCCGCTTCTCCCTCCCCTTCGCATGACCGCAACCCCACCTGACTCTCCCCCCTCTGGGATGCCCCGCGCCGCTTGTGCGTCCACCCCCTCCACTCCTCCTCCTGCCACCCCTCGATCGACCTACGTTCGAGGTCTCGCGGACGAGATTGCCCAGCTCCGGGAGGACCTCGCCCTCTTACGCCTTCAACCACCCCCACCCTCACAGGTGGCCGCGCCTTCGGGCGCACCCTCTACCTCCTCTACCCTTCCTCCCATGCAGGCTCGCTTTCCGCGCCCTGCACCCTACACAACTCCTTCCTACCTTCTTCCTACTCCCGCGGTTGCTGCGACCTCTTCTACTGAAGCACCCTCGCAGCCTGCCGCTATTGCCACCGCCGCTCCCCCATGCGGCCCGGGCGCACAGTTAGCTGCGCCCCCTTCTCCAGGACCTGCGCCAACTTACTTAGCCGTGGCACAGGCCTCCGCTCCTCGATCCCCTCGCCACGAAAATGGTGGCGCACCACTCATCCGCTTGTCGGACATTGCCATGTATGATGGTACAGGCATACGCGTGTCTCGGTGGCTGCAGTCTGCCACCCGCACACTCCAGCTCATGGGCGCCACACCCAAGACGTGGGTGGGTCACCTCTCCACGCGCCTGCGTGGCGGTCCTTTCGAGGCCTGGGAGGATTTCTATGCCTACTCCCTTCGTGAGGGTCGGACTCCGACCTTCGTGGATTTCCAGGCGTTCCTCGAGGATCGGTTCGGAGCCCGATACGACGTGACTGACGCCTTCGAGCGTGTCGTCACTACACGCTGGTCCGGCTCTGGTGGCGCTACCGGCCTGGATCGCCACATCCAGGTCTTTCAGGACGCCCGCCTCGTTTGCGACGTGGCGTTCCTCCCCGAGGCTGCCCTTATCGATCGTTTCTTATCCAGCCTTTCGCTCGAGTACCGCTCCGAGCTATGGCGGTACGAGTTCACATCGGCCCCACAGGCTTACGAGGCCGCCAGGGACCACCAGCGGATGCTAGCCCGTCCTCACCCCGCCTCCTCCTCCCAGCCCCAGCGCACGGGCTACGCCTCCTCCTCCTCTTACGACACTTCCCAGCGTCGTTCCCCTTTCCGCGGKCGCCCCCGCCGTTCCACGCAGCAGGGCCGCCACTTCTCGCGTCGCTTCGGTGCGCTGGAGTATGGTGAGCAGGACGCTGTTGCCCCACTGTCACCTGAGGGCGACCACAGCGACGACCTCGATCTCTGCGAGGTCGTCCACTATCACTTGGAGGACTCGACCCTCCCTGCAGCTGAGCGCCTTCAGCTCGCGCTCTCCGCCCTCTCTCGGGCACGCAGCCACCCCGGTCATGCTGGCGCGTCGCCCCCCGAGGTCCCTCAGGAGGACCTCCCTCAGGGCTTCGTCCCTCCTCGCGGTGTCCTTTCCGCTGAGGAGC